GTGTTAAACCAAGCAATCACACTCCTCAATCTTCTCCAGGCAACACTCCTCAATCTCCTCCAGATCCACAATTACCTCCAACGTGATCCTATATCTACTCATTGATTTCTCCTCAATTGTATCAATCATAACAATTGTATATATTGTATTCCATAAATTGTATAATCAACTCTGCTATTTAAAGCCAATGAAATACATGGAAGAAGTAAGTTGGCCTTACACTCAAATCATCTATCACAATTGTTTTTACAATTATGCCAAAATTGTGTGAATTTTGTTTTAAACTAAAAACTAACTATATTAAACTACAGAGCAAGTTGAAATTTTTGGAGAAGTTTTAAATATGAAAACCGCATTAGGACTTCGATTTCATCTACACTTATCCATTAATTTAATTAAATAATCATAAATTTGACAATATTTGTTTATGTCTATGTCTACGATCGATGTTCTAAATTACTTAATAGTTTCTCTATAAGAAAGTTGAATCTATTTTTACGTATGAACATTCTATAATTGTTTATATCGACGATTGATATACTAAATTATTTAATAGTTTAAGTTAAATCTATTTTTATGAAATCACTTCCTATATCTTTATTAAAGTTTGCAAATGAGTAAAGAAGGCCGTGAAAACAACCAAAGATCATTAAATATCGCACAGACAATAGGAGCTCATTTCTATCCCTCTCAAAATATATGTTACTATTTGATCTAAACGTTCATATGACCTTCGTATCAACACAATTCATAATTTTGATTGTTGAAGACACCCTAAAGTCTCCTACTTAAACTAGAACTCGGTACTTAAACTAGAATTCGGGTGCAGTTGAGGTAAGGTTTTGGTCAACGAGTAGAGATGGTGCGGCCACCAATTGGTGCAGTGTCTAAGTAGCATTTTTTGAGGGTTTGAGGCTGCGGCCATGGGAAAAATAGACATGGGAACATTGCGACCAAGCTAAATCTTCATCTACACATGTATTTTATCGTAGCCTGGGTGAAGGCGCACAACTTTTTTGTAGAAAGTTTTTTAGAAAATTGGTGATAACTCTGATACCACTTAGTAATAATTGAGTCAATTGTTATGAATATTAAAAGGCGAGATATAGGAATATGAAAATAATTACAATAATACAAGGTTTAAGTGGAAATCCAAGACAAAAAAAAAGGTAGAGGCAGATAATTTACTACATCAAAAGTAAAGAGTTACAAAATGTTATGCGAGATCTCACAAGACTCTCCTCTAAAATCTCTACATGCGAGTCTTTCTCTATTAATCAGATCCCCCTTCCCCCTTAGATCATTCTCTAAGTCAACCAAATAAATATGTATAATATACACATGGGCGGATCGAGACCATTTTTCTTATGGGGTCAAAAATGAAAATTCAAAAATTCTCCACTTGAAGACGAATTCCACTACAAGAAATAAAACTTAACTTTTTAAATCTAACAAAATTCTCCAAACAAAACACTTCAAGCAAATTACTCTAACTTTTCCACAAAGCCTAACTAGGGCAAACTCAATAAATATGAACAGAACCCAAGCATTACTTATTAGTAGAATCACCATGAGCAAACCTTTGCTCGAATTATCACCACAAACAACAAAATCATTAAGCTCACAACTAACTCCATCTTAATTACCAAATTTGCTCGAATTGTCTCCATGAGGCAACACGAGCACTAAAATCACAACTAACTCCACTTAAGCTAGTGGCAAGTTCCTCAATACCAACTTTGCTCGAATTTTTATCATGAGCAACAAACAACTCCCACATGAGTCAACGCTTATTATACCATAAGCCATTAATTAACCTTCTCTTAAGGTTTAATCTTCAATTTAGTGACAGCTACATCAAACGTGATCGTCGAACCTTTCAAGAAATACAATTGGGACATTCTGTGCTCTCTTCATCACAAATCGATCCTTACGTTGCTTTTCCTTCAGAATCCAAACAAAATATGTCATAAAAAAAACTTAGTATTGAGATCCAAAAATAGAATATCATATTTCATCGTTGTCATGCGAAAAAAATCAACCTCGCTCTGATACTTGTTAGAAAATCGATGATAGCTCTGAAACCACTTGTTAAGAATTGAGTCAATTGCTATAAATATTAAAGACCAAAAACAAATCACGGGTAGATACGGATAATTCACTACATCAAAAGTAAGAAGTTACAATATGTTATACGAGATCGCAAAAGACTCTCCTTCGATATCTCTTTTCGCGAGTATCTCTCTATTAACATGGATCCTTCCTAGATCATTATCTGAGTTGATCAAATAAATATTTATAATACACTACATATTTATAACACAAGGTGAAGTTCTATTACAATAGGTAAAATCAATGACGGAGTGTCCGAGGTTGAATAGGAGTCCAAAACATATCAAAATCGAGAAACCTTCTGCTTATCCATGTTAGACTCCTTC